AGAGGTGCAGAATCAGATCTTTTTCAAGACACAGGAATTAAGTTAAGTAGCCAAGAGTGTGCTGGAGACCTGATCAGGAGGAATCTGTGGGGATACAGAGTGACTGATCCATGTTGTGTGTTGATTGTTTTTTCTGGCCTTTTACAGCCACCGGATTTGACAGGGAAGGGAGCAGAGCAGGGTGGAGATGTGGGCTCAGCCACAGAGGTGCAGAATCAGAACTTTCTTCAAGATGCAGAAGTTAAGTAGCCAAAGTGTGCTAGAGACCTGATCAGGAGGAATCTGTGGGGATGGATACAGAGTGACTGATCCATGTTGTGTTTTGATTTTTTTTCTTGCCTTTTACAGGCACCGGATTTGACAGGGACATGAGCAGATCAGAATGGAGATCTGTACTGAGAAACAGAGGTGCAGAATCAGAACTTTCTTCAAGACAGAAATTAAGTTAAGTAGCCAAGAGTGTGCTGGAGACCTGCTCAGGAGGAATTTGTGGGGATATAGGGTGACTGATCCATGTTTCTTCTTGATTTTTTCTCACCTTTGACAGCCACAGGTTTTGACAAGGACAGGAGCAGAGCAGGGTGGAGATCTAGCTTCAGCCACAGAGGTGCTGTGATAAGGGAAATAGTATCCTGTAAGAAACAACCTCCCAGGGTCTTTAGGATGTACTTAATCAGAGGCCAACAGGAGGAAGCCGTTCAGTACCCATTGTAAAAGAACAGAAGACAAACTGACAAGAAGACTAGTGATAAGGCTATCTAACAAGGACCATCTGGTGAGGAAGACCCTTGTGAAATTCGATGCCAAAAGTCCTTGCGAAATGTGCTGAGAATGACTGGTTTTGGGATGAAGGTAAAAAGTTCATCGTGAGGAAGACATATGGCCTTCATCCCTGACGACCTCTGCCCAAGACCACCAGGGGGCAGCGCGCAAGCGTCAAGAGGAGGAGCTGTGGACCCCCAGAAGTGACTACGTTTTCAGGAAAGTCCATGAATATGTATAGGCCTCTAATGAGTATGGGACTTTCACTGCATATAACCAAAGCTGCTGCATTGGTCAGGTGTGCATGCTTTTCTGGAGGAAGCTATTCCCCCGTGCACCCAGCGCTGAATAAACGTACCTACTTTATAACCTTCTAGGTTGTAGAGTTCTTATTCCACGTGTTAATGTCACCTGAAGCTTGGAAAATTAGCTGTTAGAGTTGTTAAGTCAGTGCAGTACTGGATCTATTTATTAGACCTCTAGAGGTATTTTTATTTTTGTGGATGTTAATCATTTTACCCAGAAGCAGCTTCGAATCAGAATGAACTTGCATGACCATATTGGAAGGTAATGTCAAATAAGTCTGGTTCCAGGCAATTTCATATTGTCTTGTTTAAAGGGGTGTACTGTGAAATGTCAGAGAAATCTGCATACCTATATAGGTTTAAAGGAGTACCCAAGGCAAATAACTTGCATCAAATAAATCAGTGACTATGAAAACAATTACCTTGCCATAATTCTTGATTATTTTTGTTCTTGAGTGAAATTTAGATGTATGATTCCTTTAAAACTTTGTATTTCTTGTATTACTTTATGAATATTTTAGGGAAGATGAGAGGAACAGCAGGGTGGCACAACTGTCTTAGCCTGGATCCTTGAAATCATGGATAAGGGCAATTTTGTGCTCTAAAATATATTCTCAAGCACCGGAGAAATTAAACCTGCAACTTGTTTTTTAATACAATCAACTAGTGAAATGCCACTCCTCCTGAAGTGTTCGCATACCCCCGGACCAGGTTTTGGTGAACAAAGGGAGGCTTTGTTTTGCTTTGACAGACCCTTATCTGTGATGACACAAAGGAGGACTTGTGAAAAATGTCCTAGCCCTAAGTTATACAAAATGACTAAAGAGGGCACAAAGGACCAAAATCTGAATGGAAGTGAAACCCAGGTAACAAACATTTTGCCCCAAGTCTCATTTCAACCTATTCTTGAGATATGTTAACTTGGCTTAGTAAATCATTTGTGTGCTAGACATCACAAAAATTAGCAAAACTAGTTGGGTGAACCCAGTCAAAGAAACTGGAAAATCGTATCATGCCACCAAAGACAAACATCCCAGACAGTCCGATTTCCCCAGGCGTGCTTCCGCCCCCTCTGCCCCCCATCCTATCCTTACAGGAAAAAACTGTTAAGATTTTGGGTAGAATGGGGAGAAGTTTTTCCAATGATACAGGTGGACTGTAGGAAGGTCATAACATAGACAGAAATATGTAAAAGATTCTCAGG